GAATAATGAATGCAATTATTATCCTTTCTTTGAGCAGTACAAAATAATACTAAATATGCTTCTTTCTGTCATATTCTATCACATAAGCCAAGCTGACCAGTCCCGGTCCTGCAGTTTGACCGGAACCCGGTTGAACCGGCCGGTTGATAAGTCTCGACCGGACCGGACCGGTAACCGGCGCCCGGTCGCCCGGTCCGGTTGCATCTCTGGTTGAGATGTAAAATGTCATATTGTCGTGCTCTCTCTTCTCGTACTAAACGTTCTGGGGGTGTCGAGCTTCTCGATTTTGTACGATTGCTAAGGAATTCTATCAAACGAGAACTAAAAGTGTACTTTTCCAACCAGTTATTAAAATGTTTGTCAATGAGAAATCTATCATCACACTGTCCAGCTCAGTTTTGGTCTAAAACCAAGCGCCATTTTAAACCGTCCTCATCTTCTCTGCAGGCATTGATGTCTAGTACAAATGTGATAGTCCGTGAGCCGTCTGAAATGCTGGAAATCGCAGTGGACCACTATGCAAATTTATTTACTGAGCCTGAAGTCATTCGTCCCCATCCGTATGTAGACTCGCCCTCCATTCCTTATGATAACGAGAATCAAAAAATCCCTGAAGTTTCTTTTGAAGAAGTCCTAGATGCTATGTCAGCTGGGAAAAGTGAACATTCGGTAGATGCTCACGGACTATCTACATTTATGTTCAAATTTATCCCAACACCTTACTGGCTTTTATTTGTCCAACTGTTCAATCTGTCTTTTTCATCGTGTGTTTATCCAACCTTTTGGAAAGAGGTGAGAATGATTCTTCTGGCTAAAAAAGAGTCTGTTTGTTCTATTTCTTTAACCCGTCCTATTTCTCTCTTGGATGTGTTTTTAAAAGTGCAGGAAAAACTATTTATGTCTAGATTTGTAGAAGTGTTACAAAATAGAGGTCTTTTGCCCGACACACAATCGGGTTTTCGTGCCAATTTCCGTTTACAGACCAGAGTGCTTCTTCTTATTGATTCTATCTCTGGAGCATTAGGTATGCCACAACTATTTTTTATCTTTTATCTTCTTTTATCTTCACATATTCCGTTTATTATACAGGTATCACAAGTTCTCAACAGACAGTGTTTCCACACAGTCGTCGTATGATGTGCTGGTTCCACATGATCCAAAAATGCCGACTACATCGAATAACGGTTGTGAATCGATGAATGCCATTATAAAACAAAAATATACACTCCGTAATAAGTTACATCTATCGGCGTTTCTACCAAAAATGGAAGAAATGTTAACAGATTGGTCAGAGGCAAGTATTTCATCACCATTTGCTGCTGCTACAAGTATATCTCCTGATACGGAGCTGCATGCTTACAAATGGTCAGTAAGTATAAATCGATCTGACATTTTGCATTGGTTTAATACATTTTATGTTGTTCCATCATCCACGGCAACAATAACATCGTCAGTTTGGTTGGATTTGTATCCCTCTGGGCAATGGGCATCATTTGACGATTTTGCGCCATGGCAAACATCATGTTGGTTAGTGTCACCGCTTACATCGTGTACGTGTCCAATTGGCCTCAAGTAATACACCTGCAAACATTCAGTTGGATTAGGCATTGTATTCAACCTGTACCAGGTGACGGATAAAACACGTTGTGAACCATTGGGTAAGAGAAAAGGTAAAGGTCGTCCAAAAAAGGTTCGTACAGCTTTGTTGCTGTAAAGTTAGTATTTTTGTTGTACATTTCTTCTTTAATTTAAGTTTTCGGTAATTGCTTTGGTGATTAATTTTTTTCTACTTTGTTCATATTTGTGTGCATACTTCTT